CCCCAATGCCTCTGATTCTGTATCTCACTTGTTCAGTGCTACTGCCATTCGTCACAGACCTGACACAAGGGTTTTACTTCAAAGGAATCCCTATAACTGTCTTACAGTCATAAAGGAGACAAGCCTTCCAAGTAACAAAATAAGCAATTTTCAACTACCAGGGACGCCTTCCAGTTAAAGGTGTTGTTCTTTTTCATCTCCTTTCTCCTTCTGTTTTTCTGTTTAAGGCTTTTGTTTACCTTCAAACACTTTTTATTCCTTAAGCACTTTATCTTCCAATGTTTTGTGTAAGAAGTCAGAGCTTTAATTCTTTAGGAGGTTCTTTTTTATTATTATTATTATTATCATTATTTTGCTCCTGCTTGTTTTGGTATCAGCCTCTGTGTTTTAATTGTTTGGATACTCCATTTCTCATTTGATTGCAAAGATCTGGAGCAAAGCACTGATTCATGTGTTATACACAGCTTACCAAACTGTTTATTATAATTGCACTACTGGGTAATGTGTTGTTTTGTGGTAATAGACACTGTTCTTTGATTGAGTTATTGTTGAGTTATTATAATAATTTTTTTAATTGTGATAAAATGTGGTGAAAATGAACCTTTCTGTGGTAAATGCAGACAGACTTTATAAAAAGGAGTTAAAAAATACATTTGAGTTCAGTGCTGCTCCCTGCATCAGGTTCGGTATAGAGAGCCAAAGACACGTCAGCCCAAGTTGTTGTTGAACTGGCTCGATAAAATCAAAAGCAAATGAACGTTATGGGACATAACCGAGCCTCTGCTGTTTAATAAAATCAAATAATGATGATGAAAATCTCCTCCTGATGAATAACAAGTGTTGCTCACATAAGTCATTTATTCCTCCTACATCGAACCAACGTAATCTTTATTCTATCATGAATTCTGCCAAACGTTTTACCCACTAATTTCTCTTGAAAGAAATAATTACATCAGAATATCCATGCGTGTATTTTTATTATTATTTTTTTTCAGAAACTATAAGGCATCAGTGGTTTCTTTGGCTCTCTATATTTGCAAATTAAGCTTTTGTCCAGAGTTCATGACTTCTTATTAACCCAAATCCACCCTGCTCAGTTAGAGTGTGTTTTTGCTTACATGTTTTAGCTGGTAACTCAAAGAGTTTGACTTAGTATCGACAGCAAAAACTACTGTGTTCTATGTAAAGCAAATGCAGTAAACTTTTTTCTGTGTTGTCATCGCTTTTTGCGAGGAATTCATTGAATGTTGGCTGTTGCATTTTTTGTTTATTTTTGTGGGATTTTCATGTTTTTTTTAAAACAATCAAGACCAAAATTTCTGTTTGTCACTTGGCATCAACATTTTTTTAATTCTCTTCAGTTGACGAAACAACACTAAACAAAAAGGCAACATGGAAGCAATCAAGCAACCCATCGGTGTGTAGTTTTGCCTATAAATATAGTTCCTACACGTTGATACTGCATGTTTCTACAAAAATACTGTACATAAGAGCATGTTTTAGAGACAAAGCAAAAATATCTTGTGTATGTAAATGGGTGTCATTTTGCCATTTTAATAACACAGCAAATGGAAAAAAGAAAAAAAAGGCACTGTATATTTTCTAAATAGAGCAAAGTGTGTATTTATTTTCCCTGAAGGTCATTGGAGAGAATGTCATACAAATATTAGAGTACTATTGCTAAATAAGAACCTTTCCACGCCTGAAAATTTTAAGCAAGTGTGTTGTCCAGTGCTGTGTGTGAGTTTATGTAGGAAAAAAAAATGTAGCCGCATGCCTGCTATCCGGATTTCTTGTGCTTAAATTTTTTCTTTTAGCACTTCTTTTATTTACCATTTATTTTGTTCACTATCTTTTCAAAATACTAGTATTCAAATGGTTTTTATTTATTATTTGCATTACCTGTTCTATGATTAGTTTATTTTGGGAAAAAGTGTTTTAATTTAAGATTAAATTAGGGGGGTTGTCCAAGTCAAGTAGATGAAAATAGTGTAATAGCAGATACAAGTGTTATTCAAAATTTCCTTACTTTTTTTTTACAAAGTGATCCTGTGATGTGGGGCTCTGTGATAACATTTTAATATCAAATATCTTACATGTTATAGATAACACTTTGAACGACCTCCATTTGGAGAACGTTTGGATTGTTGGAAGACCAAAGCTAATTGCTGCCATCTTAAAAGATCCCTAAAAATAAAAATGTCCGTGGATGTTYACAGTGTTATAAACTTTTTCCTTACAGTTAATTTTGAATTACACCATTATTCCTACTGCAAGTGTCCCAGGCTGCACTGGACTGCTACAGCTAGCTGCTTTTGCTATTTGTGCTTGCAAAAACCCATTGAATAATTGTGTAATGCAAAATCGACAACAATATTAAGGTTTAGGACATATCAAATGCACAATCTGTTATGAAAGTTTCAAAATATTAGTTGTTTTAAAATGGCCTTGCTCAGACCAGCTATTAGCTCATCAGTTAGGTAGACACTTTGTCTCCATACTGAATTTGTTTAAAGATATACGTATGTATAACAGTAAGATATTTGTTCACAGCTTTTCAAAAAAAAAAAAAAACCTCACTTCAGAGCTAATGTTTTTATAACCATTATTTCTGCTACTCTAAACTTCATTTGACCAAAAACAGAATACTCCGACTTGGACTTCCCCCCTCTTTTATCCCCTGCTTTGTTTATCTCTTTTTTTATTACTTACAGGACCAATTTTCATTTTCTATCTGATTGACCTAAAACACTTCACGGCTGTCTCTCTTTGACTCTGTTTATTATACAACAAGTGTACGTGTAAACAAAATAAATGAATAAGTTAAAACTAAAAGCCATAAAACTCAAGCACTAACTCTTTAGAGCTCAGCTGAAAAGCTCAAGTATATTTATGAGTGATAAAAAAAAGAAAAAAAATCTGACGTCTTCATTTTTCTGTGGCTTATGTTTCTTTTAGATTCCTTTCTGAGGTCTTTGAAATTCATTCCGCTGTGTGTGAGCGCTGAAAATAACTGTGAGTTTAGAGGAGCGAGTGGGTCTTTTTCTACTTTCCGAACTAACAATGTCATCTCATCCAAATTGTGTTCATTAATGTATGTTTCTTGTTTTGATAGTAAATATAATTGATATGTAACTACAGTAGGTTTTCAGTAATGATGCGAAACATATATACTGKATATATAACAAGAGTTTGTTCTGTTTTAGGGCTGAGTGCAATTTACGAACCAAACTGGGTCCCTCTTCTAGTTTCTCTTCTCCCAGTTTAGCAGAGAAATGAACTCGTACAATCAAAAACACAGGTGGTTTGAGGCTTGTCCTGATTGGTTCTGTTGACTATTTTTAACCGATGGCTAAAAAAAAAAAAGATTAGAGTGAAACAAGAGAAACTTGAACCAGTGAGTTTTAAACCTGAATCCCTCCCATAGAACTATGCATAGTTTAGGATTTTCACACTCATGGATGCAATAATAAGAATTTGCTTTCTTGCCAGGAGTTGATTACCCGGCACGTCTGCACGCTAAATGCGGATGCTGCAATGTCACTTCAATATTATTAGTAAAAATGGATGGTTGACGCAGCTATATTTGGATTTAATTATTAAACTTAGTGTAATCACTGTGTAGTTGTGAGACGAGACTTTTTGAGATAAACTGTACAAAGACATGATAGCTTTGTGTTGAAAGGACGTCCGAATTGTTCGTATGACAAAGATGAGTCTTTCTACCATTTTCCAAAAATTTCCAACCTAAGAATAGGTTGAATTTCCGCTTTAAATTGGAAAGACTGAAATCCCACAGAATACTTCAGAATATGCATTTTATATCCGTTCTGTTTACATTACTGTGTATTACTGTAACTAGCTAGCACTAAGGTCACGTTAATAGCCTCCACTTAAAATTAGTATTGAAATCAATATATTATAAGTTCTTATCTTTTAAAGAAATTGTAGTCCCTTTAAATTTAACACATTTTTTAAAAAACACAAACTGTAATCGAGCAAACCCCGCTAGCAGAGAATTATTGAGGCCAGACCCACTCATTGGGAAAAATAATCACTTTATAAAAGATATAATGTAATGTAAATCACTACCAAGCTTGTTTTATAAAACCGGCATACCTGCTATGTTGATGAAGTAGTGACGTATATTAGCTAAATAAAGTCTGGCAACTCTGCAATGCTACTATAACAGCTACTAGCTAGCAGCAGTGAAAACTGAACATCAGCCACAGTCATCTGGCATCGCTGTCTAGTTCTTGTAATAGCCTACTCTTGGAAATGCTCTGTACAGTGTGATGTAATTGGTTTTGTGGATTTGAATAATAATTGAAATTATAAAGTAAATAGCTTAAGGTAAACATAATGACAAAGTGGGTAAAAGACTGTCATTGCAGACAGAAAATTTTTTTAATCACAGATCAATTAAAAACAACAACAAAAAAAGCTTTAGTGCAGCTTCGCTCTAACATTTAAATACATGCTTTCCTAATCAGTAAATATGTTTATTTTCTGCCAAGAGGAAATGAATTTCAATATGCTGGTAAACAGAAATCAAAGGAAACAATTTCATTGTAGATGGCCCAAAGAGAAAGGAACAGTCAGGGTTTAAAAAGGCTTTATTTTACATGAAAAAAAAACATCTTTTTTATTATCCAAAAATAAAGAAGTATCACAGTAAAAATATAACAAAACAAAGACTCATCCTGTAACTACAGGCAGATCTTCTGAAAAAAAAATCACTAAACCAACTTATCAAAATATCAGTAGAAACGTTAAATACAAACATGGAAAACCTTAAGCAGATGTATGGAGTCCAAATTTGTAAAATATAAAGTATATTTGTGTCTGTGTTAAACAGAGAGTTTCCAGGTGATGATTCTAGCTTTTCTTTGTGCGGAGTGAAGCCAGATGTTCATTTGGCTCCTGGCAGGAAGGCAAATAGGTCATTTCTTTTCTCCACAGTCCGTTTCTTTAAGTTGATCTCAGCCACTGAAATCTTTTAAAGCAAACAGCCGCATCTGTTCTGGCAACAGTCTTCAATGTGTTGCAGAAGCTCCACATTGTCTAATGCAATATTATAATAACCAGTGTCTCATTAATCCCATTGACTGTGACCAAACAATGCACCAACACACAATTTAAAACACAAGATTTCAATGTGTTTTTGGAGAAACACTGCCACCATCTGATTACAGTTGCCAGCATTCACTAGCTCTGCTTGATTCTGCCAAGAGACCAATTCATGCAGAGAGCGAATGCATCCAAAAAATAAAAAGAAAATAAATAAATAAAAAGGCACATATGGATAACAGGTTAACTCACAGCACATCTGAGGGTTTCTTTTTTGGTTTCTTTTTATTGCTTGGGTCACTACAATYACATGACCACCGGGCAAGTTCTATGGGGGGCCGAGTCTACAAACTGTGTTACTTTGGGTTCTTCAGCTTGACGTGGTGCAAAAACATGTATTGGATGATGCAACTTACAGTACAGTTCTGCATGCATGGGACACATATCTCATTCTTAAATGTACATTAGTTTGTGTACAAGTAATACACTCGAACGGAAAGAAGAAAATAATCTGAAGTGTGGTTTAAATATGGCTATGTGTCTGTTTTCTTGCTGCCTGTAGATGTTATGCACAAATGCATCTGAAGCTGTGCCGTTTCAGACAGTTTTGGAGCGCCGTTCACACAGATGTGGTTTTGGTTTGGTTTTACTTTCGAACAAACGCTGGGATTTAAAAAGGGAAACCGTACAAAGTTCAACCCGTTAACCACCCTGTCAAAGACTCTCAGCAGGTAGAGACATCACTTTCAAACAAGCTTTCTTGTCTTTTCTTTTCCTCTTTGTATTATTATTTTGTGTGTATATATGTGTGTAATCACGTTTTGAGTTCTTTCTGTTTCACCACCTCCAATGTAGAATGTGTTTGAGGCAGTGTGTCTCCATTTACGTTTGCTTTCTGTTGGCGTCTTTATCCTGTTTCTGTGTCAAACAGCTGTCAGCATCATTAACGGGAATTTGAATTGTCATGAAGAATGCCGGCCTTCATGTTTACAACATGGACACTCTATACTGCCGAACATACAGGACTGTACCGAACTCCCCTCTTGAGCTGTCAGTCCTCTAACCCCCCACCCCTTATGCCTGACGCAGCTGTATTCCCGAGACTCCTTTCTTTTCCCGGCTTCATTGCTTTTTCTTCATCATCTTTCAGATCCTCGGAGGACAGTCAGGTCGTGTCCCCTAGCTGTGTTTCTTCGTGTCTAGTGTTGTGGTGCGCGTGTTCATGTCAGTACTTGTGCCTACTGTGGATCGCATGCTTTAGCCTTTGACTGGACACAAATGTTGCTCACAAACTCCTCTCGACCCTTATATGGACATTCGTTGGGGAACCTTATGACGTTATCAAAGGGAACCAAATAACTTATTACAAATTTATCATATGTGTTACAAGTTCTGTAAAAACAAAAGAAAAAAAAACAACAAATAGGAAATAAAGGCCTTTTAATTACCATGAGTTGTTTGTGTTTGATGTCACGAAAACACTTTTGCACTTTATCGAGCAAAAGGTACTGTACTGTTGAAGTTATTCAGTCTAACATCCTGCAATGTAGAGAAATGCACACGCTGTGACCAACCAGAAAACCTAGCACAACTTTATTTTAAGAAGTCACGTTTTTCAGAGTAAATAAACAGAAGGAAAATAAATAAAAAAACAAACACCAGATTTCCTGGTGCACCGTGGCAGTTGATTTGTCTTCTGTATTTTAGATTCCCCATCACCTTGCTTTCTGATTGGCTACACGTCACATTCAACGGGTCCCCTGAATGTTTGTCCTCAGGAAACAACACAGGCTGGGATATTGGGTCAAGATGATCCAACATGTTGAATATCCCCTATTTGAGATTGGAGTGATCCAAACGTCCTTCTGAGTTGACTAGATCACTCTTAACATGCCACACATGGCAGGAATATTTCATCAGATTATTTTTAGAGCTGTCACCATAATCTGGGCATCCTCAAGACTGTGAGGAGGACAAAATCGGGTCAAAAATCAGCATAATTATCTTGCCGGTTGAACAAGACATAAAAGATCATACTATGTTAGCACAAATCTACAGGAACATATGAAATAATATTTGGTATTAGGCCAGTTCTGCTTTAAAATTTGCAATAATCAAGCCGATATGTGCTCCAGCCCCACATCATAGATTCACTGCCACCATGCTCTGCTATGCTCCGCCCAGAACCACAAAGATAAAACCACCTCAACATTGCTTCAAAAGTTTTGTACCCTTTGCCACTTATCCAGCTCTTTCATGCATATTTAGGATTTCACTGCATTCTTAGTATTCCTAATTTTCTTATAATTGTTAGTAAGATGCATCCAAGACTGTAAATATCATCCACATCCTGACAGATTTTGTTTTTTTTTTACCCTTGTTGAGGAGTTTTCAATCATTTTTTGAGCGAGGCCTTACCTAAAACGTTATCACTTATTGTCTTGTATCAGCCTCCTGACTAGTTTGGCACATCTCAGATGCTCAACACGTTTTCCTTCTGTTGTTTTTAAATCAATCAGCTGATCTATCAGTGCAGACTTGAAATAAACAACTGCTAAAAGCAGATTCCTTGTCACATACACCGCTATACTGAAAACATATAGCCATGGATTTTAAAAATAACATTTTGAAGCTGTGAAGAGACGTTTTTTAGACTTCTAAAGATTACCACTTTGGTCATCTTATTGATAAAATAATATAAGATTTTATTCCTAAAGTCGAGGAGAACGTTGCACTAACAGCTGGGTGTGTTTATGTGCAAAATGTTATTGTTCAGAAATACAGACATTTTTGTGTTTGATTTAAATAATTTGATAAGTATAGTGCCAGTTAATGTTACAGAGGATTTTGAGACATTTAATATTGTTCTAATGTCAACTAAAAAAAGTTTTTAAGATTACTAACAAGTCCTGAATATTTAAAATACAAAAAAATATGCACTGCAAAAGAACCACAGTACAAACTAAACAGTTTCTTACACATTTTTATTTGTCATGAGGGACAGTAAAGTGCTATTATAGAGGTGCCTAATGAACTTGAAACAACCCCTGCAGGTAGTTTATTAAACCAGTTAAAATGTGAGTTTGCAGCAGATAATGAAAAATCCTACAACAACTGAGACAATATTTAATAACAAAGATCACACACAGATTTTAAAGGTTAGAGTTAGGTGCTTAACAGTACAGTGAGAAAATACGTGGTTTTATTATTTTGTCTTTTCATCACTTCATTTGAGGAAGACCAACATACGGAAAAGGATTAGAAACACAGAGCAAAAAAATAAAAAAGAAATCTTCCTAAATTTTGACTTAGGGTTTTTTTTTCTCTCTGTGGCCCTAATCCCCTTCCGCATAACAAGACAACAAAAAAAAGTGTTTATTTGAAACAAATATTCACTCAAAGGTGTAAAGATGAAATTTAAATCTTGATAAATAAATAGGTACTCTCTTTCTCTCTCCCTGCTTGGTATTTACAGAAGCTATCCTCAATTTAGCAATTTTAAGATGAAATACAGGATTTAAAAACAACAACAGCAACAACAATACATTATGGCGGTGATTGATGGTTAAGAAGCCAAAGGAATCAACTGCAACTGTTTCCACACTCAAATGGGTTCATGTGCTTTGGCTCTCAGGTCTGAATGAAACATTTTATTTTACTGAGTAAAACTGATGCTTTGTCAAAAATTGCATGACTTTTGTTTGTAAATCTCTGTACTACAACTATAACAGGACACAGATTGTTCTGTTGTCTTCAGAATAAATTATGCTGGAAAAATATTGAAAGGCTGTTTGAGCGACTTTGAGCTATAAAATCCAAGATATAGGAAGCAGAAACATCTGAGTGTCAAAGTTTGAAAAGCTCTCAGTCAAACCTGGAACATCTATTTCGTACCGCTTCCAGCAAGAAACTTGTTTGTACAAACTTCTTTTGGAAAAATGTATGAAAAAGTTTGCTTTGATAAAATAACTCTTTAAAGTGACAATATTAAAACCACACCGTGCTCAATGTGGAGACAAACAGGAAGTGTGGATGCAGACACCTGGACCGTTGTTCAAACGGCACATGTGGTCCCTTGTTTGTGCATGTGGAAAATACCTTAAAGCAAACAAWAACCAAATGGAGGACGATGTAATTCCATCATAAAAAGTGTTCAATGCAACCAAGACATATTTAAAAGTTTCAGTTGGATTTATCWGAATTAGTTTCTTTAACCGCAACCAGAAACAAAACATCAACTTCAAAATGTTGCCCAATAATCAGGAATGAATCGTTCACAGACACAGAAGAGCTCCAGACATCTGCTCACTTGGACAGCTTGCTGATGACTCGAATGAGCGCTCCGTTTTCATCCTTYAGCCTCTGATTGTCTGACTTGAGTTCTGTTAAAACCTGGAAAAGGGTCAACAAGGTAGGAAAGATAAGTTTGGTTAGAAAGCTCTCATAAAAAGTTYTTCACACTTAGTAAAATACGTTTCTGAATGCAGTGCAGTGATGGTGAATCTATCCTCTGCAATGATGAAGTGGCTTTTGTCATCCCTAAGGATTAGTTGCCTTTCACCAACGGTGGAGCCATGCTTGACATTAGTTGTCCATGCAGTGAGGCGTGACAATGACATCATGACAGTGATGTGGGTTGAAATCCAACAATAAAACACAGAGGATCAAGTTTCCAAATCTAGGTCATGTCTATCATGGGCACCAATGGCTGAAAATATCCACCGTCTTCATCAAAGTATTTTCCCCTCTACTGGAGACAAACCATCTGCTCAGGTTAAGACACATTACTGCAACAAGTGAACAAGTAAAAGCAGCAGCTATCAATATGTGCATCACCTACAGACGTTTTTGTTGTTTTCAGTTTTGACCTCATTTCTTAGTTACTCTCCGGACGGTCTTCGCTTTGTCATGTCAGCGTCTCTTAACCTTGGAATTGCACTTCCACAAATGTGAATAGCTTTGTAGATCAGAGGAGATAAACATGTATTTATAATACTGTCTTTCTTTAAATACACTGTACTGTCAAAAACCTCATTTTTTGTCCTTCCATTCAATGCTGAATGTTTTTAATAAGATGCCAGAGACAGGGTGGTTTTTTTTCCGGTTGTGTAGATCAACGCTCCACCTGCTGCAAGAGCTGTCAGTCAGCTGAATGATGGCCAAACWTGCCATTGTTAATATAAAAATACAGATTCAAAATACATTTAGCACAAAAAGTACATTTGTATTTGGTAGATGATTTCTTCTTGGCAATAAATATTATGATTGGCACCTGATTGACAGATCCTGGGGTTACCCGACGCTCCAAATAAGAGATAATAGCAAAAGCAAAATCATCTTTTTTGTCGGAGATTTGGCAGTTGTTTTCATGTGAGCAACCCATCAGCTCCACTGCTCGTCCCACAAATGCATGTTCCTTACAAATGTAGCACCACTAAAAAGGAAAATTAACAGGCTTTCCAAACATATAAAGAAGCGTTGTTGCAACAAATAAATAATCTACCAAATACAAACTTCCTTACTTTTTGTGCTAAGTTTATTTTCCAACTTCAAAAACGTACAAGCATGACTTGGTTACCAGAGGAGCATTACCCATTTCTTATTTAAACGAGCAGCACTTTGTTGAAACAGACTTTTGTAAAAAGCTACAAGGAGTTACTAACTAATTTACTATCTCGCACCAGTTTGTCAGCTAAGCTCCCAGTGTTATTTTACCAAGAGCAAAATAACAGAAAAGCTGTAAACTTGTCATTTTAGCAATAATTAAATGCAGCTGGTGTTTATTCTACATTTTACTGAGGTCTTTCTCTTTAAACATTTCTTTTTTCAAAAACACCCTTCAAGCTCCCTGATGTTTTCACAAATTTCATTTTGAATTAATGCTAAATACAGCACGTGCAATAAAAGCAAGATTATAACCTTAGTCTTCAAAATATCAATAGCTGACACTGATTTAAAACCATGAGGGTATAAATTAGCTGACATTGATTTTAAACAGGTTCACATTGTTGCCTTGCAGCAAGAAGATCTTTGGCTTTCAGCTGAAGCCTTTGTAAATTGAAATTGCTTGTTTTCCTGTACATACGTGCTTTTTTCCTCCATTTTCTCCCTCAGACCAAAAAAAAAGTATTAATTAGTGTCTTTAAGTGTGGTTGTGTGCATTTCTGTGAGATCCTGTAATAAACTAGAGACCCAAACTTTTTGTTTTTTGTTCTTTTCCCCTTGTAAAACAACGTTTCATTGATTACACTTTGTATTCCTGACCAACATGCAGCTATGTGTTGTATAAATCAGTGAATTCTTTAACGAGCTCTAATTTTTTTAATATGTTGATGCACTTTATCCAGATAGTAACAGAAGTAATGTTGATGCAGCCGTGTTAGGTGAAATGAAGCCTGAATGTTAATATTCTTGAAGTCAGGTTGTATGAAAACGTTTCTGAGGGCAGAGGAGATGGGGCTGAAAAAAGCGACAGGAGGACAGAGTGAGGTGAGCGGGCATTAAAAAAAGAGACGAGACCTGCCTGAGAGGACGACAGCAGAGAGCAAGGAAAGAGGCTGTGAAGGCGACAGAAGGAATGAAGGAGTGATGAGGGTTTGTGGCCGAGGCAAAGGAGAGCAGGGGAGGAAATTGGGGTGAATGGAGGATCAGAGGTCCTCCGTTTCCGGCATGGAGGCCGTCTCAGAGAGGCGGGCCAGGACGCGCAGCATGGCTYGGTTCTCAACCAAGAGACACTCGTTCACCCTCCGCAAGGCCCGGACCTGGGCTAGGGCCAGGAAAACCTGCACACAGKGGGGAGACAGATACAGAGAGGAAGGCAGACAGAGGAAAGCAGGCAGGGAGGTGGGCCATTTCCAAAGAGAGGGAGAGAGAGAGACTCGTACAGAGGCTGTTTCCGTATCCACTCAAACAGGCATGCACAGAAAGGAAATGAGATAAACACAGCTGCAGGATTTATCAGAAAAAGTCACAAACAAAAGCGTACACAGCAGGGATAGTTTGAAAAGGAAGCAACAAACAAGCAATTTTGGTTCTTTAAAACTGGACTTCACATGGAATCTGCCGTGGCTTTACTTTTTAAAGTTTTTCTATAATAAGTCAGTATTGTTAGATTTTTTACAAAATCTAACACTTAGTTTCGAATTTCCCACAAGAACCTGGTGAGTAGAAGGAGCAGTCAGGGAAATAAATCATCTCTCTGTTCTTGACTTGACTTTTTTAGGCAAACCTCAGTGTGGTTTGACAGAAATGTCTGTGGTTTGTCACTATTCCTAAGGGAAAACCACTGAACACACACACACACACACACACACACACACACACACRCACGCACGCACGCAYGCACGCACGCACGCACACACACACACACACARATWYGTATTTCTAACCTTGTTAGGACTGTTCATTCATTTCCATTGGTTTCCAATCATTTTAAAACATAACCCTGATCCCTTACCCTAGACCTAACCACCCCAGTACATACAGTACCTAACCCTAAACCAGTGGTGTCCAAAGTCGGTCCTCGAGGGCCGGTGTCCTGTATGTTTTAGGAGCTGCCCTGGTTTAACACAGCGGAACCTAAGGAGTGCTTAAGCACTCAGCTGTGATGAACCAGGGCAGTTCCAAAAACATACAGGAAACCGGCCCTCGAGGACCGACTTTGGACACCACTGCCCTAAACCTAATCTCCAACCCAAAAGTGGATTTCCACTATATTAGGATAAGTCTTTGGTCCCTATACAAGKATTACTGTTCTTGATAAGGTAGTTGCTTATTCCAGAAACGGTCCTAAAAAGATTGACATAAACCAGTGTGGCTTTTGCATTGACTTTATTAATTTCGACTGCCTGACCCTGACCCCTTACCCTAATTCTAACCTCCCAGGTAACCCTAATCTAAATTTAATTCATAACTTAGCCCTAAACTGACCCACAAATGGTTGGTTTTCCATTGTGAGGACCGGGCAAATGTCCACATGACAAAATATCCTCATAAGCATAGTATAATTAATGTCAAAATATGACACACACACAGTCCATGCTCTTCTATCCTCATGAAGACTTTGCATCGTCTTCCATTAATTTTCCATTTATTTCTAGACCCTTACCCTAAACCTAACCCCTAACCTCCAAAACAGCATTTCAACTCATGGGGACTGCATTTGTCCCCATAAGAAGCAGTGGGTCCTCACAAGGTTGTGTGGCTTGGAAAAATTGTCTCAAATGGTCCCCACAAAGTAGCAGACACATGTACACACACACATACACAAAGTATTCAAAGCTGATTTTAGGACACTGAATTGACTGCCAAACATTGCCCTATTACTTACTTGTACAAGGTGAAAACTTTAACTTCAGAAGTGACACTTTACCTTTTAAGGACCAGCCTTTATGCGCCATAAAAACCGATGTTCTTTACAAGGTTTCTATCTGATCTGCTCCCAAGACAAAGACTCAGGAGCACAGACAGGAGCGGTCATTGTGCTTCTGACCACCCAGAAACATGGCTGTCAATGTGGACAAAGATGTTATGTAAATAAGAACTCCAGCACCAAACACGGTCATGAAAGTAATTTGAAGCAGCCTGAGTTTGGAGCTTTGGAGCAGCTCATGCATATAATGCTCCCTTTGGAGTCTGAACAAAACAGTTCAATCTCTGGAAAGATGCTTTTGGCAACAGTGAAGAAGTCAGAGTGCAGCAAGAATGCATAATGACCAGTGTTTTAACAATGGCGTTTCTGACACTGAAAAATTCATGACAGGACTCCCACTTGAGTGTTTTTTTTTCCTTTTCAGGAGAGCAGGTTTCTCACCAAGTTCAAGAGAATGACAAACTACGGGGTGTATCAGAAAAAAWTATACTCTCAGAAAAATTGCCATAAAATTAACATTGATAATAATTTTGAAAATTTGGTGGAGGGGATCAGTCTGCTTCGACTGACACCAAAATCTTAGYTAACGTTTCACTCTCCAGTGAGCAGGGACAGTTGGAAATTCACAAAATTCATGTCCTTTACGCAAAGAAATGTGAGGGTTAAAATACGATCTGTCACATAAAATTAAAAGTTCAGATGGTGTTTTACACACACGCTGAGGAGTTTTTAAAATCATTAACCCTTTCATGTCCTAACATCGAAACAAAAATATCTTATTTTTGAGTGGATCATATAGGGTTAACAAACATGTGAAGTGGCTGTGGACAAGTCAATCCAGCCAACTAACATTACATGTAATGTACCATACATGTACATGTATTCAATGGGTATTACATGTAATTATTCCATAACCTGGTACAAGATCATGTGATCGTGTGGCCATTTTCTTTCATTAAAACAACATGATCACAAACATCACCTTATCTTATGTAGACAATTGCATCATTCCTGGACATAA